ACAACTCTTTCATCACCCATTTATGATAAAAGAATTGTCAATCTTCTATGTCTGGTCTGGGTCGTGCGCGTCGTATTCTCCCAACTCTTCACGTCAGGTCTGTTTCGTCCTGCAGAAAACGTCGTAAAGTTCTCTCACTCTTCGTCACGTCTGTACAGATCAGCAGATCGTAGTTTCTAATCACTATCAACCATTCTAGATCACGTTAAATATCAGCAAATTTACAAAAATTAACATATATCAAAAAAATCTGTCGTCGCACGTCGTAGTTCCCAACTGTTCGTCACGTCATGTCGTCGCAGTCGGTAGGTTCGCACCCCAACTCTTCGTCACGTCTGTCGTCGCGCATTCTTCCCCAACTCTTTCGTCACGTCTGTCGTCGCGTCGTAGTTTCCCAACTCTTTCGTCAGCGGTCTGTCGTCGCGTCGTAGTTCTCGCACTCTATCGTCACGTCTGTCCTCGCGTCTTATTCTTCCCCCCAACTCTTTCGTCATGTCTGTCGTCCGCGTCGTAGTTCTCCCAACTCTTTCGTCACGTCTGATCCGTACGCGTCGTCAGTTGCTCCAACATCTTTCGTCACGTCTGTCCTCTGCCGTCTTATCTTCCTCCAATCTCTTCAGAAAAGAGATCATGTCTGTCGTCAGCGTCGTAGTTCTCTCTCACTCTTTCGTCACGTCTGTCGTGCCGCGGATCTTAGTTCTTATCAACTCTTATCGTCCGTCTGTCCGTCGCGTCGTAGTCTCCCAACTCTTTCGTCACGGTCTGTCGGTCGCGCTCGTATAGTTCCCAACTCTTCTCGTCACGTCTCGTCCTCAGCGTCTGATCTTCTCAGCACTCTTTCGTCAGCGCTCTGTCCCTGCTATCTGCGTCTATCTCTCCAACTTGTCGTCACGCTCTGTCGTTCGCGTCTATTCTCTCGCCAACTCTTTCGCGTCACGATCTGTCGTCCGCTTCGGTATTCTCCAGCGTGACGACAGACGGGACGAAAGAGTTGGAGAACTACGACGCGACGACAGACGTGACGAAAGAGTTGGGGAACTACGACGCGACGACAGACGTGACGAAAGAGTTGGAGAACTACGACGCGACGACAGACGTAACGAAAGAGTTGGGGAACTACGACGCGACGACAGACGTAACGAAAGAGTTGGGGAACTACGACGCGACGACAGACGTGAAAGCCGCCTGGATGAAAGCCGCCTGGATGAAAGCCGCCGCAATGAACGTGTCGGGGAACAGCACCGCAACGATCGCAGGGATGGAAGAGAGTTCATACTTTCTGTGAGCAATGATTCTTTACTTTTACTCCGAAGCTGATATATGATATCATATCGCATTATTTCTGCTCTTTACAAAATATCTATCATAGAGGCTATATGTGTGATATGCTACCACGTACTACTCTAAAAAGGGTGTATTCTAAAATTGTTGCTTGGCAGGAGAGTGCCACACAGTTGATCACGTGTTGTTAACGGTTAAACTATACCGACCTGGCTTGCATACACGTATAGCAACATAGGAATAAATGTCGCGATTTTCTCGGCAATTTATACTCATTCGGTCACATCTTGTGCTGCAGAGGGGGCGACGTGTTACTCAAGTGCACGTTTTCAAAAACAAAACTATAGTCTTAACCTCAGTCTTAACATCGGCCCTTTCTCGTAGGCCATACGCAGAAACGTGATACAGTAAAAGTTGTGAGTTACTCATACGTAGTGTGGAAAGGTCAGCTTTACGAGACATTACAGTATACCAACTTTCTCTATGACAACGCGAGTCCCTAGGATGCTAGTATATGTTTCCCTACCGCATCTGATATCTCGTTCGCCTTCTGTTTCCTCAGCCAAAGACACTCGGCATGGTGGAGATGAGAAAGATTGACGACCAAGGCGCCCATGATGGTGACCACTTCATTAGCGACAAGTACGTGTTCGTAGTTGTTTACCTGTCGTACTCACAGGCACTTGGGCCGTTTCAATAATAAAATGATGGTTAATAAATACAACTTGTGGCAACTGTCAGTACTGAACTAAGAGTTAAGTAACTAGTCTTCAACATATATTACATTTGATTACCTACATAACTTCATTCAAACCGTCCAATTAACGCGCATACACACATGTCCTTAACTGCCACGCCACTTCGTGACAATACACCGCAGTATAACACAGTAATACACAGTAATATAGATGCCGTCTATTACTCTATCGTTATCTACTATTACCTCTATAACTCTATAACTTACTGTGTATTC